GCGTCCTGGGGCCAAGCCGACCTGGGCCCGCGCTAACCTGGAGGGGTCTGCGGGCGCCCTCCCTGCCCGGCACCGCGCGCGCAGGGTCTGGGGGACCAGCGGGAGGAGGAACGGCCAGGATGGCCCGGCGCGCTCGGGTCGCTGCGGGACCACCCGCAGGGGTGGCCTTGTGTCCTGGAGGAAGAGTCCGGGCTGAATCCTGCAGGGCGGGAGGAGGGGCCGGCAGAGAGGGGGAGGGACGGCCCGGGCCTGGGGAACGGCTTGTGCAAAGGCCCGGACGCGAGAGGTGCAGTGGGATTTCGTGTGGCCCGAGGTCCAGTTGGGGTGATGGGGAGGGCAGCGAGCCCTCGGAGGCCTTCTCACCTAGCGCTCTCATGCAGATGTTTAGGTGCGTTGATATTATTGACCATCAATTTGGGGCAGCTGCTGCGTGGAGCTTCCCTTACTGAGGGTTGGGGGCCACAAATGTGCGCCCGCTGAGCAGTTAGAAAGTGCCCTGGGTGTTTGTCGTTGAGGGGTGCTGCGATCTGCCCCCCGAGACCCTGGTTCACTCCTCCTGCTGCCCGCATTCACCCAGCTACCAGCACCCGCAGCCACTCTGCCCTTAGTTTCCTCGTGTACTCGAGCTGTAGACACAGCTGCTCTCCGAGGCCGTGCAAGTGATAAAAGTCAGTGAAGCTGGGGGGACTGTGGCTCATCTGCAAGTGTGTGTCCCACCGGGAAATTCAGAACCGTAGACACAGCAGGCAGCCAGAGCTTAAAATGGGAACCAAAGTGGTCTCTCTGCCTTCTCCCTGATCACCATCCTGGAGCATTTGCGGGGCCCGGTGCCTTGCAGGCCCCTCAGGGAGCGGGGCTGGGCTCCCTGGGCCCCCAGCGTGAATTCATGTTTCGGGTAATGAACTGCCTGCTCCAGGCCGTCACCCTGACCACAAGACTTTGAAGACAAGCATTAGCCTCACAGCCTGACCCCCAGCCTGGTTCCCATCCCAGTGTGAGGGCAGGGGTCACAGGCGAGCCTAGATGAGGAGGAGCTGAGTGTGGCGGGACTGTCACCAGACACTACATTTGAGCTACCGGATAACTGTTCTTGTCAACTCCACGTAGAGCCACCAGCTTCTGGCATTTTCACCCCGGCCCTGCTGGGACACAGCAGGAAGGACAAAGCATTTGGGGGGCTGTCCCCTGGCACTTGATCTTGTGAAAGCCTCTGGGTGACTGGCGTGTGGCGGATGGGAAGCCACTGCCCTGAGTGCAGAGCAGCCACCTCAGCCCCGGCTGCAGGGGTGGGGTCCGGTGGGGTCCAGGGCCCACAGAGGCCTGGAAAGTCCTCAGATACCTTTGTCAGGAGCTGGCTGCTGCCATGTTTCTTGCCAGCAGCTCTGCAGTGAGTGAAAGGGGTGCACAGTGGCCCAGGCTTGGAGGCCCAACTCTGAGCCTCTGTCTGTGAATTTGTGCTCGATGGCACAGACTACTCTGTGCTGGATGAAGCTGGCTGGCGGGGTGCTGGGGAGGAGCGGGCAGCGGTGAGGGGGGCCCACACCTTAAGAGAGCTGGGAGGAAAATGTGCAGTGACCGCGACAGAGCCTGGGTGGGGCTGCAGGGTCCCAAACCTCTCTGCAGGGGGTGGCAGCTGAGCCTGTGTAAGGAAGGGCAGGAGGCAGAGTGGACCCAGTTCACCGAGGGCAGCAGGGGGTGAGGGAGCCTGGAGAACAGAGCACAGAGGCGCCTTGCCACACCTGGCTTGCAGGACGAGTTGGCTTTGCCAAGGCAGCCACACTTCGAAGGTGTCAGTAGCAGTGCTTTGTCTCCCCAGAGAAGACCAGACAGCTCCTTTTTCACGGGGCGCAGGCCTGCATGGACCATGTGTGGGAGGAAGGCTGTGCTGTGGTTGACCTACCGGAGTCCCCGAAGCCAGGTCTCATGGAAGCCCCACGGGCCACGCGTGGGCAGATGCTGATCGGACCGGATGGCCGACTGACCAGGAGGGGAGCCCAGGCCTGCGAAGCCGGTGAGTGAGGCCGACAATAGGCGCTACCCAGCGGTGCACTAGGGATGGACATGGCAGGTGCCACCCTACCATCCGAGACATTGTCTGCCCAGTGGAGGTTGGAGCTGGGTCAACCCTGGGAGGCCCTGACTTGTGGAGTCTCTGCCCCCCATCGACACTCAAGTCAGGGAGTTAGGAACAGCTTCTGACTGTCAGGTTGAAAGGAGCAGAGACCCCCGCTTTCCCCACAGGTGGCCCCTGTGAGTGTCCCTCCTGCTTTCCCTGCAGGTCCACATAGTCCTGTCTGAGTGGGAACAGCCTGGTTGTGTTGGTGTTCATCTCAGACTGTCATCTGTGTTGTTGGTTATAGTCCCTGGCCTACCCCTTGGTCTGGGTAGGACCCAGGAACCTCTATTAATCTGTGACACAGGCCACATGTTGAGACACACAGAGATGAAGACCGAGAGACGCCCAGTACAAGCAGGGAGGAGCTGGCCCTTCCAGCAGTGGCAGCCAGAGGGTGGGAGGTTTAGTAGCAGGAGTCACAAAAGCCCCTAGGCTCTCTCCCTATGAAGCAGGGCTGTGTGCCGTCCCTTCCCACAGGTGGTCCTGAGGGTCCAGGAAGGAGGGTCAGCCTGCCCCCGGGGAGGCAGTGGCCCGGCAGCTCCCAGCACTGCGAGGCCCCTGCCTGGCTGACAGGGGGCGTTTCTTCCTCACAGACGTGTCTGGGGCAGCGTCCAGAGCCTGCTCCTCGTGCGTGCGAGCTGTGGACGGGACAGCGGCGTGCGGCCAGTGTGAGCGTGCCCTGTGTAGGCGGTGTGTGCGCACCTGCAGCAGCTGCGGGGTTGTGGCCTGCACCCTGTGTGCCCTTGTGGAGTAAGTTCTGGACCCGCAGGTGGGTGGGGGGTGCTGCCCAGCAGGAGTGGACTGTATGAAGACTGTGGTCAGTCCTCTGGGAAACCCGTGTCGCAGGCGGCCAGCTTGTCCCGGGCGTGATCTGTGGTCTACCACAGTTCTGTTCAGTGTTTCCAGCCCTGACGTCAGGACGGTGCACACGGCTCTCCTATGCAGGGTCTCCTCATTAGAGCAAACCCTGATAGGTGGCAGCAGGTGCGCTGTGCTTGTCACGGCATATGTGTGGGATGGTTGTGGGCTGTGGAGCAGGAAGTGGAATGTTTGCTTGGCCTGTTACTCGAGTGTGTGAATGAGCGTGAGTGTGAGCCCACCGCAGCCCTGTGCCCTGTAAGAAGACGCATCCCCCAAGCAGCCTTGGAGCTGGTTTATAGACCTGGAACTAGCTTTGACCCAACCTCGGGAAGTTAGGGGGGGCTGTCTAATGGGACAGAAAGCCAGGGAGGTGTGGATGGCCCGAGGAACGACCCAGGCCCCTCTGCGGCTCCCAGGAAGTGGGACCCAAGACTGCAAACACTCCCGCCGTCTAATTTGGAGGTTATGTGTTGGGCGAGTTATGAATGTGACTTAGTCACACCAACTTAATTCTCCTGAATCACCGTGGCCAGTGACCACCTCAGTTGAGGACAGGAGCACAGCAACAGGGCAGGTAGAGGGCTCTGACTTCTCGGTGATGGTGCAGACCCAGCAGCCTTCTTGGTTTTCTGTAGTGTGTTGCCAATTTCCTGGTCTTGCCCGACTTCTCCTGATGAGTTTCCCCTGCGATTCCCTGCATTTTCTCTTATTTATCTTATTTGATGTAAACCATTGTGGTCCAGTAACCCCCAACTGGATACCTGGGATACCTGGGAGGTTCTGTGGGGCCCCCATCCAGTATGACACCCAGGTTGGACCTCAGGCAGCTTGTTGACTGTGTCAGTCCATAAACACTCTGGCCTTTGTCCTCACGCTGGTGGCCGGAAGTCTGGGATGTGGCGTCTTGGGGGGTTCCTGCCAAGGCTGGGAGGGATCTCTCCAGCCTGTCCTGCATCCAGTGGTTGCTGCCAAGCTGTGGTGGCCTTCTGTGTCCTGCATTGTCTCCCCTTTGCATGAGTCCTTATCACATATTCTTTCTCAGGACATTCTCTTGCAGGGGTACCTCATCCTAGCTCACTATACCTGTGGCAAGTGGCCCCATCTCACAGTCAGGTCTCGCCTGGGGGTAGCGCCTCAGCAAGTAAACTTGGGGGGAACACAGCTCAGCCCTAACACCAGCTCTTCTCTCTCCTCCCCGCGGTGCCACAGCTGCAGTGACGTTCACGAGAAGGTGCTCTGCGCCAGCTGTGCCATGTTCGAGTGCTGAGGGCCTGGTGGATGTGGCCTTGCCTGGACGACCTCGCTGCTAGATGACCTCACTGGCATCGGTGCAGAGGGAC